CCAGCGAGTGCTAGCCCACTGTTCTGATTTGCATTTCCTGCTAATCAGTGACGATGAGCACTTTTTCATAAGCCATCTGTCCATCTGCATACCGTCCTTGAGGAAGGGTTTGTTTAGCTCCTCTGTGTTTTGATGACATTATTTGTTCTTTTGTTGTTGAAGTCAGCGATGCTTTATATATGTTAGCTATTCGTCCTTTGTCAATGTACGGTATTTGAATATTTTCACCATTCAGTAGTAGTGCAAAGGAAGAAATTTCTTTAGCCATTTTAAATACCAGCCATTATTTTTTGGTGATAAAACAATCTTAGTTTAATCAATTTTCAATCTGAGAATTTTTTGCTTTTCCCCTTTGTTTCTCAAGGATATTATACTGAGTATGAGGTTTTGTGTGGACAGTCCTTTTCTTCCAGGTTACTTCCTTCTGGTCTCATGATTTTGGTAAATAAATCATCTGTTTTGCTCCCCTTTCCCGATTTTTTTGACCAGAGGATGTCTTTTTCTGTCTGATATTTCTGAGGTGCTTTATCAGGACCCAGTCCAGTATATCATGAGGCAGAAGAGCAAACTGCTGTGTCTTTCTTTGCACCGGGAACTTTCCTAACTGGCCTGTCCTCTTCTTTCCATCTTTCAGCCATTTCTTTATGCTTGTCATATGTGCAATATGCAGAATGTTAAGCAACATTTAACTGATATACAGGAAGAAGTTTCTTTACTTCGTGTTGCCCTATCTTTTCCTTTCCTGACAATTGAAGTACCTAAGATGACACTATAGAATATTCAAAATGCTGGGGTTGGAGTGATAGTACAGTGGGTAGGCTAGGGTGCTTACCTTGGATGAGGTTGACCCTGGGTTTGATCCCCAGAACCCCATATTGTCTCCTGAACTCCCCAGGGATGATCCCTGAATGCAGAGCCAGGAGTAATCCCTGAGTGACCCCCTGACAAAAGAAAACAAAAGAATATTTAGGATAAACTGACTTCATAAACTGAGGCAAATAGGAAATAAAATAAATACAGTTATTGTGGATTCAAAACTGATTTTCTCCAGATTGTGCTCTAACTTTCACTTTACAGGGCTTTATCTCAATTTTCTCTAAGCAGAAACATAGGTTTTAAAATTAACTGGAGACAACAGACATTATCATTGCTAATACTTCATGTTCATGTATGATTATACATATTGTGATTAAAGAAATGCAAATAGAATCATTTGTTAAGTAGGACATTGCTGAATCTTCAAGACACTGATGAGAATCTTGAAAAGGTATTCATGGGGAAAACTGTGTTTGAAACCATCTTCCATATTTTGTGTGAGTTAATGATAATCACTACTTTTCATCTGCACATAATGTATGTATCTCTTTAATATCATAAAAAAATTGAAATAGGCAGTACATGTGGTCATGAACAGCTTCCGCTCTATCCTGAGGTTCCTTATTGGCCTTCCCATTGTGTTACATGGTCCTTTGAACTGGAGTTTTGTTTGCCAGTGGGGAGGGCGGGATTCACCATGGTATAACAGAATTTGATGTTCAAAGAATGTAAGTTCATTTTTACTGTTGTATTAGAAAATGGAAAATGTTACAAAAAGTGCAGAGTATAAATAAATCAGAGCCACCAACATTGTAACCACATCAGAGCTATAAGGTGAGGCAGAGATAATCTGGATTTTCATTTCCTGGAAGATGTGAAGGATGAAAAACAGCAGAGAAACACAATACAGCTGGGTTTAGTGCATTGGTTGCAAAATGTTCAGAAACTAATTATGAATATTTGCAGGCTTAAGCCATATGCTCATAGACCAACTTGTATTTTTATTACTGATAAATACATTATTAAGAGTCTATAATTCTGAAATATATTACTAGAGTCTACACATCTGAAATTACCTGTTTTCGACTATAAAATTAAGTGTGCAAAGGATAATGAGGTATCTGTAAAATACATTTTTCACATTCTTCTTCTGAATAAGAACTTTCACAGATAGCATCTCTTCTCAGTATAGACAGAGTTAATTTTTCTTAACTTTTGTAATGGTGTCATAGAATCTTCAGGCAAATGTAATGAGCACATACAGAGAGCAAATAAATTAATTGACTTAATGGTTAAGATTTGTGCCAATGTCACAAAGATTGGCAATGCTTTCATTAAATATATATATATATATATATATCATAGTCTATAAACAAAGTAAGAAAAAATGGAAACTCTGATGCTCTGACCTGGGATAAGTCCTTGGGAAAGCTTTCTGTTTGTTGCAGGTATCATTTTAAAGAGATTCATATATTCAAAAGAGGACCAAAGCTCAGCACGTCTCTCTCTCTCTCTCTCTCTCTCTCTCTCTCTCTGCTTTTTGGGTCACACCCGGTGATGCTTAGGGCTTACTTCTAACTCTGCACTCAGGAATTACTCCTGGTGGTGCTCAGGGAACTCTATGGGATGCTGGGGATTGAACCCAAGTAGGCCGTGTGCAAGGAAAACGCCCTCCCTGCTCTACTACAGCTCTGGCCCCAGCACATCTCTTTTTTTATTCTCTGTTTCCTAACGCAAAAATAGTCACCATGAAATTGCCTTCCTGAGGCTTTGGGGTCTTGAAATTTAGGTTTTTAGCCTCAAAAAAGAACGAGAGCTTTGTGCATGCAACAAACTTCCCCTCTGAATTGGAAAAATTGACAAAAGAAATGTGTCAATTCCTTGACTCTAATGCTGGCCTGTGTAATGACAACTGTGGTCAATACTAGACAATACAAGTCTCGAAGATTTCTTTAAAAGCTTTTCAAATACTTTTGTGACTGATGAGGGCATTCAAGAAGACTTCAAACGGTAAGATTACACAGTGGGATAAGGAAGCCTCGGTGAGTCACCGTGCAGAGCTTGGGCCCTATATTCATTATGCTATGTAACAAATTACCCACAAATGTAGCGGCTTGAAACAATCGATATTTATCACTTTACACAGTTTTAAGGACGGAGGGGGGGTGGTTCTGATTCAAGGTTTCACCAAGGGACAGATTGACAGCTGTCAATTTGAAAGCTCAAATTGCAGAAGATCAAATTCCCAGTTTACTCAAGTGACATCTGCAGCCTCTCACCTTGTGGTTGGGGCCGCAGCTCCTTCCTACACTGGTTTTTCCAATGGCTAAGCTTCCCCTTGTCCTGGAGCTGTTCTCTCCAGAATATGTGGCCTAAGATGACACAAACAAGGAAGCCGTAGTCACTGAATCTTGGGAGATTGCAGTGCACTAGCAATTACTTCATTCTCTCAGTTACTCAGACAAATGGTCCTACATTGTGGGAGAGAACAAGGCGAGTGTGTGAATACCAGGAAGAAGGACTCTAGGCCTTATTTGGAAGTTGGCTCCATGACACACCCAGAGCTGCATATTGGGTACCTCCATGCCTCTGGTTAAAGGCTAATGGTTCTGTGTGTCACTAGTATTGTTCAAAACTATAAGCCTACATATGGAATGCAAGTTGGAACAGATTAAAAGTGGCTAAAAGGTCTCTGTCAAAATTAGATGTTCTCTCCATCAGTGGTTTCTACTATGGCTACCAAGGAGTTCAGTGAAAGGCTCACATTGTATGGAAATCAAGGCCCAGATGCAATTTTAAAAAGTTACATAATTTCTAGCCCCAGAAGAGCAAACCATATAGTGATGCGATATAAAACAATATGTCCCTCAAAAAGGTGATTCCTAATTCTATGTACTTAAAAGTTTTAAACTTGGCTATTAAAAAGATGTGGGGCCAAAAATAAAAATAAAAAAGACCTTTTCAGCTTTCTTATTTTTCAGTTTGAATAATTTAATTGGATTTAAAAATATCAGTAGGAATCAATGACTGCTTTTAGCTTTTCTATTTTGGGTGAGAGAGTTCACTTTGAATACTTCTGGTAGTAAATTACCGCGTAGAGATATAATCATTAAAAATTACTATGTAAAAGTATTTGCTTTTCTGGAAAGGAAACTTCAGAGTTTTCAGTTTAGAATGTATAAATTAGGTGCCTGAAACTCAGAAACCCTAAGTGCCTGACCCAGACAAAGCAAACAGATTGGTAGGGTACAAATAACCCCACTGAACTTACACAGACAAATAGCCAATTAAAAACCCAAGAAGATTTAATCATTAAATCATGGAGCCAGCTCCTTAGGTCAGGGAGCGTTCTGGAGGCCACGCCGACTGTCGCAAAGGCAGAGGCTGCCCAGTGGTCGGCGCCTCTGAATTTCTAATTGGGTCAGGAGGTGCTGATTTTTGCCTTCGGAGGCCGGGTATTGGGGTGGGGGTGGGGGCACTGACTTTGTCTTAGCTGCGAGTCTCCACCCTGGCTTCACACGTTCGCTGGGGTGAGACCCAGACGCCTCCCCTCGCTCTCCAGCTGATTCCCATGTGCGGCGGGTCCCGCCTGAGCACACCTGGGCCTCGTCAGGGCGGCAGGTGCCAGCCGCGTCCTGACCCCCTCCGCCTCCCTCAACAACCCCGGCCGGGACACGAGGCTTTGAGCCTTGAGACCCTTCCAGAGGATGCTGGCGCTGCTGTCCGTGCCGTGCGAGGCACCTGAGAAAAGCTGAGCCCTTGATGCATGCAGAGGATGCGTAAGTGTAAAATAGAGGCGATCTGTTTGCATATTAACCGACGCTCTGCTGCAAGGAGTGGAGCCCGATGCCCGGCGAGGACGGACACGGCGGTGCCCCCTTCCCTGACCCGCAGCGCTGCACTGTGCGGCCTGGCATGCTCCTTCCGCCCCACGCCCGCACCCCGCAAGTTTCCCACTTTTATTTCAAGGACCGAGAAAACAAACGTCTTCCAGCGGAAGGTGAAGGGCGGAGGGTCCGGGCGGACTTTGCCCGGGCTGGGGGCCTCTGCCCGCCCCGCCCTCCGCGGCGGCGTCGTTACGCGGGTAACGTGCAGCGGGCACCGGGCACGACGTTGGGAGCGCGGCGGGCGCCACCTCCGGGCCTCGTGCCGCGTCGGCGCCAGGGACGGGCTGGGCCGCTGGCATGGCCTGTGCCAACCCAGTGGTAAGGAGAGCGGCCTCTGCTCGGGGGGCTCAGCAGCCACCAGCCCTGCCCCGGGACAGGACTGGCCTCGCCGACCTCTCAGCTGGGGGAGGGACAGCGCCGCAGGGGAGGGGTTAGAAGGTGGTGGGGATGCGGTGGCCTCCACCTCCCCCGTGTGGCCTCCACCTCCCCCGTGTGGCCTCCACCCTCTCCCGTGTCACCTCCACTTTGTGTGTCACCTCCACCTTCACCCTCTGTCACTTCCACCCTCCCCTCTGTAATGTTCACCCTCCCCTGTGTCACCTCCACCTTCCCATATGTCATCTCCACCCTCTTGTATCACCTCCACCCTCCTCTGTGTCACCTCCACCCTCCCCTGTGTCACCTCCATCCTCCCGTGTCACCTCCACCCTCCCCTGTGTCACCCGCACCCTCCCTTGTGTCACCTCCATCCTCCCCTGTGTCACCTCCACCCTCCCCTCTGTCATGTTCACCCTCCCCTGTGTCACCTCCACCCTCTCCTGTGTCACCTCCATCCTCCCGTGTCACCTCCACCCTCCCCTCTGTCACGTTCACCCTCCCCTGTGTCACCTCCACCCTCTCCTGTGTCACCTCCACCCTCTCCTGTGTCACCTCCACCCTCTCCTGTGTCACCTCCACCCTCCCCTCTGTCACGTTCACCCTCCCCTGTGTCATCCTCACCCTCCCCTGTGTCACCTCCGCCCTCCCCTGTGTCACCTCCACCCTCCCCTCTGTCACGTTCACCCTCCCCTGTGTCATACTCACCCTCCCCCGTGTCACCTCCATCCTCCCATGTCACTTCCACCCTCCCCTCTGTCATGTTCACACTCCCCTGTGTCACCTCCACCCTCACCTCTATCACCATCACCGTCCTCTGTGTCACCTGTATGTTTGGGAAGTTCACTGATGACTAATTTTAGGGTGGGTGTCACTCAGGCCGGGTTGTAGTGTTTACTGTAAGGACGTACGGTTCCTGCGGCCCCACCACACGCCTTCAGAGCCGCAGCTTCAGTTCCCATCCTTACCCGGTTTGTGCTTGAGACTGGTTGCAGACTCCCGCCCAGCTGGCAGAGCCCCAGTGTTCTCCCGGCAAGAGGGCCCGGCCGCCCAGCCAGAATTGATGGGCAAGGGAGACCTTCTATTAATTTTAAATTTAAATACTAAGGCTTGAAATGAAAAGAAATCAAGGTCTCCCCTTTATATTCGGTTATCTCTGATCTCATATTTGGTGACGCTCCTTGTGCTTGTCAGGATAATGTTATTTTCATGGATCCCACATGCGTGCATATGAGACTTCTCAGGCCCTTCCAGGATCAGGTTTTAGGTCCATTCTCATCATGTGTGTTTATTTATCCTGTTAATGTGTTTTAAGATGTGTAAGATACGTGTGACTGACTCTGAGCTTACCATGTATGCCATTTGATGGTGAAATCCAAGGGTGTGTGTGTGTGTGTGTGTGTGTGTGTGTCAGTTTGGCTTTTAACTTAGAGGAGAGATTAAAATTTATCTTCTGGGATATATGCTGTTATAATAGAGATGACAGGGTAAGCGCTACCAAGGCCAGCTATAATCCTAGAAGAAAGAGTGTTTGATACCGACTTTGCTTTTGAAAATTTCTTCTAATGGGTTATTTTTGACACTGCTATTAATACTCTGAAGATCTTAAAGGCCTTTTTCACCCAATGAGGTTTTTGTTTGTTTGTTTTGTGATCATACTAGCTGGGACTAATATTGAAGCATTGATATAGGATGCCTTTATCAGAGTAAATGTTTTAGAAGAAACTAGAATGCTACAATTTTTATTTTGGACCTGATTAAGCAGTATGAAATAAGAATAATGATTTCTGTCTTTTTTTCTTTTTGGGTCACACCCAGTGATGCTCTGGGGTTGCTCCTGGCTCTGCACTCAGGAATCATTCCTGGCAGTGCTTGGGGGACCATGTATGATGCCAGGAATTGGACCTGGGTCAGCTCCATGCAAGGCAAACGCCCTGTTATACTATTGCTCCGGCCCCCAGTGATTACTGTTTTGTCCTTCCTTCCTTCCTTCCTTCCTTCCTTCCTTCCTTCCTTCCTTCCTTCCTTCCCTCCCTCCCTCCCTCCCTCCGTCCCTCCCTCTCTCCTTCCCTCCCTCCCTCCCTCCCTCCCTCCCTTTCTTCCTTGTCATTTCTTTTTTTATTGAAATTATATATATTTATTTACATATACATGTGTCTATGTATATATGTCTCTGCTTAACACATCAAAATATGATTAAAGTATTTTTAAATTGCTGGTTAATTTTTTTTATTCTAAAACAGGTAATTACAATCACTTTTTAGTTTAGATTCCTTTAAAGATAGATGGAGACAATTATGATATGGGGGAACTAGAGAAAACATATTTTCAGTACTCCAAGTATTACTGGGTTATGATATTTTGAAAGATATAATGTAGAAACAATCTTGTGGTTACTACCTAAATGTTTTTTTCTCCTTTTATTTATTTATTTATTTATTTATTTATTTAATTTATTTATTTATTGAATACATCATGGGTAGCTTGCTAGGCTTTGCCGTGCAGGCAAGATACTCTCGGTAGCTTGCCGGGCTCCCGAGAGGTGCGGAGAAATCGAACCTGGCTCAGCCGGGCCGGCTGCATGCAAGGCAAACGCCCTACCACTGTGCTATCGCTCTAGCCCAATTTATTTATTGAATCACTGTGGGAAAAGTTACAAAGCTTTCAGGTTTAAGTCTCGGTCATGCAAATATCAAACACATTTCCCTTTACCAATACTTATTTTTTACCACGAAGAACCCCAATAAATCCCCCCTCCCAACCCTCCCAATGCATGTGAGGCGGATGAATTCTAGTTAACACTCTTATCTACTTTGACTAGATTCATTGTTTCGACAAAAGATGCACCATTATTATTTAGAGTTTACACCACCAAATCAGACATGCTGAAAAGGCATTGTGAAATAATTTGTTTTCTATAGCTGGTCACAAGAATCAAACGATTCTTCTTTGGATTTCTGGTATTTTACTTATTATTAACCCTGGAAGTATTTCTGCTGAGAGTCAGATAGTTATGAGATTGGTTTCTGTGCTCTGGAGCCATGGCCGTGCCAGAGAGCCACTCATGGAGGGGCAACTTGTGACCTTGGTAGGGCGTGAAGGATGAACCGGGAACGCCCCCCTTCCCATGAGGTTTCAGTCACCCCATCATGACCGGCTCATACCTGGCTTTCCACAAAGCTCCCAAGCGGCTGCCATCTTTCTTTCCAGAGGGAAAAAGGTGGAAGGGACCAACACCCTTTCCCCTCCAGGCAGGCATGGTGGTGTGGATTAAGGCATGGTCCATTCACTTTTCTGCTGCAAGCCGCTGGGCTCTGCATTAAGTCCTTGTGCTTCTGGACCCATGGCCGTGCCGGAGAGCCACTTGTGGGGGCAACTCGTGACCTTGGTAGGGCGTGAAGGACGAGCTGGGAACACCCCCCTTCCCATGAGGTTTCAGTCACCCCATCTTCCTTGTCATTTCTTATCAGTGAAACTTTCACTAGGTTAATATTATTACAACACTAGGTTAATAACTTATAACTTACAACTAGGTTAATATCATTACATTTTGAAGTGGGGTGGAAGTAAAACATAATTCACTTGGAAGGGCTGAGCTTATGAACTAGGTCTGTATTTCTAGATGTGACCAATATTCAATCTGGGTAGGAATCTGCTCTATATTATTAACAGGGCATGCTTTTCTCAGGGAGAATTTTAGGATGTTATGTACTATATAATGTGTTCATCTAGTTTCTTAGAAAACTTATTCTAGTGTAATTGTATATTTAGTTGAGACAGAAACTTCCTTGGTTTTGTTTTTGGGCCACACCCAGTGATGCTCAGTGCTCACTCCTGGCTCTGTCCCCACCATCCACCTTATGCTGGGCAGGCTAGGAGCCAATGGGGTGGTTGAGATAGAATCTGGCTAGGCGTTTTGCAAGGCCCTACCACTGTACAATCTCTCTAGCCTCTGACACTGTATTTTGGAAGTGGATTGGGCTTTAGTTATTCTGTTGTGGACCCCAGTCTTATGACTTAGAATTTTTTTACATTTTTGGGAATAATACAATGAACTCTAAGACAGCTCCTTTGGCCTTTCTGAGAAAACTTCAGATTGCAAAGTGTTCATTTCCACTTGTCTTAAATTTTTTCCCCCTTCTCATTGGAATTGGGGAGGTTAAATACTGACAGTAGTCAAACGACATAGCAGTAATCAAATAAATTTAACCATACATCTTAATGAGATTATTATCTCATATTTTATTGTCACCTCCTAGCTCAAATTTGCCAATAGATAGACTATAGGTCTAAAGCTAACACAGTTTGTAGAAAACAAAGATTGTACTTGGAATAGGTTGTTTTTAGTAAAAAATTTTTTGAGTGGTTTTTCTTCATAAGATTAGAAAGTATGCATTACATATTTTTTTTAAAGATGAAACGCCTGCAAACTGGAGAGTGAAAAACTTTACCAATTGCTTTTTTGTAGCCTAAACTCTATAAATCTGTTATTGAAGATGTTATTGAAAGAGTGCGGGACCTCTTTGCTGAAGAAGGTGTAGAGGAGCAAGTCTTAAAAGACTTAAAGCAGGTTTGTAATAGCATAAATTTATATTTGATTCTGTTGTTGTTTTCATCTTGAAAAAAGTTAAAATTATAGTTTTAATTATTTAATTATATTTAGTACTACCCTTTCATTGTGTCCTCAGCCAACAATTTGATTTAAAAAGACAAAAACCATTCTAATGCTTTTTTTTTTAAATAAATTTTTTTCCCCCTGCAGCTCTGGGAAACAAAGGTCTTGCAGTCTAAAGCAACAGAAGACTTCTTCAGAAATAGTGTCCATTCTCCTTTGTTCACTCTCCAGTTGCCACACGGTTTGCACCAAACATTGCAGTCATCAACAGGTTGGAAACAGGAACTGAGCACTATTTGAATCTTCAGAACAAATTCTTATTGGGTGGTAACTTTTAATGTGAAAGGGTAATATTCTTAAGATGCGAGGGCAGGAACCTCAGGATCACTACTATTAAATGGACAAAGAATAAATCATCCCCTAGAATTATTTTTATGGAAAGTAGATTATGTACACTAGTTGCTTTTTCAGTGTTCAAGTCCACAAAGTTGGAAGAATCTGACTCTAGAGAACAAGTTGTATAGTGTGGGGTTATTTGGAGAATCCATTGGTGAACTGAGACAACTTGATTGTGTTTAGTCAAGGAATAGATGGCCGGCACTGCCGAAGGTGAGGGCGTGTGATACTTCAGCTCTTGTTTTCTATGCACAACATACTTCTCTTATTGTATAAAAGTAGAAAAGTAGAATGAAAAGTTGACCAGATTATGGAAGTTATTCAGACTACATTTGGCTTCCTATGATGACAATGGGCTGGAGCGATAGCACAGCGGTAGGGCGTTTGCCTTGCATGCAGCCAACGTGGCCGACCTGAGTTCGATTCCTCCGCCCCTCTTGGAGAGCCCGGCAAGCTACCGAGAGTATCTCGCCCGCACGGCAGAGCCTGGCAAGCTACCTGTGATGTATTCGATATGCCAAACACAGTAACAACAAGTCTCATGATGGAGACGTTACTGGGCCCGCTCGAGCAAATCGATGAACAACGGGAGGACTGTGACAGTGACAGCGACAGTGATGATGATAATGGTAGCTAAAAATTATCTTTGTATTTGAGTTTATTCAATCTAGGCATCTGCTTTTAAGGAAATTCTTCCTTCTTCCCTCCCTCCCTCTCTCCGTTCCTTTCCTCCTTTCTCTCCCCTCCCTCCCTTCGTTCCTTTGTTTCTTCCCTCCTTCCCTTTCTTCCTCTTTCCCCCTTTCTCTCCCTACCTCCCTTTTTTCATTATGCTTGCTCTGTACTTAGGGATCACTCCTAGTGGGGCTGGGGGACCATGTAGGATGTTGGGGATTGAATCTAGATTAGCACATGCAAGACAAGTGCCCTCTATCTCTCTGACCCCTAAGGAAAATATTTTCACATATTATGTATGTCAGTTTAAACTGGAAAATATTAGCTAATAAATAAGAAACCAATATTGTTAATTTTTCTATCATTAATACCATATTTACTTTTTTCAATTTGAAAGCAGTCATTTATTAACTGACCAGATTATAAAAATATGGAAGATACCTTAGTTCATCCGTCTAATTGTCCAGTTGATCTGATCTTCTCTGTTGCCAGCATCTCCACCTTCTACAAAATGGGTGGTCTTTTTATTCATCCCACCCCGAGGAGAAGATAATTTGAAGGGCCAGAGGAAGTTGTTTGCCTCTTTGAAGTGCTTTCTAACAGTATAGATCTCATGAATCAGATCCTCCATGCAGACAATGCCATACTTACCCAGAGTTTGGGTGATCAGTGCATTATCCGTTAGGGCAATTCGCTTCTTGTGGATTTTGCCATAACCACACTTGTAGATCAATTTATTTACTGACTTCAGGTTTGGGTACCCCCATGCAATATAGGGTTCCACGATCCTCAGCATGTTAAACAAAGTCTTGTTGAGTTTAACAAAGGTACCATTGAAGATCTGGCGAAGGCAGAGAAGCTTCAGCACCTTTCAGACCTTGGGGCTCACACCATTGATACCTCTGATTCTGATGACAAAAGCCAATTTGGGTTCCGCAGGACATAAAAGTTGCCAGCTTTTCTTGCCGTCCTAGCCATGCGAATCTCTGACATGTACATCTGCCTATACTCCTTGTGATAATGCTTGACTTTTTCATAGATCAGCTTCCTTCTTGCCTTTTGAAGCATCTTTTTCTTTTTTTTTTTTAAATTTTTATTAGTGAAACACCATGAGGTACAGTTGTAGACTTACAAATTTTTGTGCTTGGGTTTCAGTTATACAATGATTGAGTACTCATCCCTCCACCAGTGCCCATTTTCCACCACCATGGATCCCAGTATCCCTCCCACCCCCCACCTCCCTCCCCCTTCCCACCCCACCCCTGTGGCAGGGCATTCCCTCTTGTTCTCTCTCTCCTTTTGGGTGCTGTGGTTTGCAAAAGAGGCATTGAGTGGCAATCATGTTCGGTCTAAAGTCTACTCTCAGCACGCATCTCCCATCCTGGGAGGATCCTCCCAACACCCTTTATTTGGTGCTCCCTTCTCTATCTGAGCTGCCTTCTCCCCCAGCATGTGTGGCTGGCCTCCAAGCCATGGAGTAAATCTCCTGGTACTTATCTCAGCTATTCTTGGGTGTTTGTCTCCTGTTTTGTTACTTTATATTCCCCAAATGAATGCAATCTTTCTATATCTGTCCCTCTCTTTCTGACTCATTTCACTTAGCATGATACTTTCCATGTAGTACCACTTGTATGTAAATTTCATGATTTCATCTTTTCTAGCAGCTGCATAGTACTCCACTGTGTAGATGTACCAAAGTTTCATTAACCAGTCATCTGTTCTTGGGCACTCGGGTTTTTTCCAGATTTTGGCTATTGTGAATAGTGCAGCAATGAACATAGAAGCGCAGATGTCATTTAGACTGTAATTTTTTGCCTCTCCAGGATATATTCCCAGGCGTGGTATTGCTGGGTCAAATGGGAGCTCAATTTCTAATTTTTTGAGAATCGTCCATACTGTTTTCCAAAAGGGCTGAACCATTCAGCATTCCTACCAGCAGTAGATGAGGGTCCCTTTCTCGCCACATCAATGCCAACACCGGTTGCTTTTATTTTTTTGGATGTGGGCCAGTCTCTGTGGTGTGACAGTGATCAGAATACAAAGACAGTCTACAGAATGGGAAAGGATATTTACCCAATACCCATCTGATAAAGGGTTGATATCAAGGATATACAAAGCACTGGTTGAACTCTACAAGAAGAAAACATCTAACCCCATCAAAAAATGGGGTGATGGAATGAACAGAAACTTTCCCAAAGAAGAAATCTGAATGGCTAAAAGGCACATGAGAAAATGTTCTACATCACTAATCACCAGGGAGATGCAGATCGAAGCATCTTTTGAGCAAACTTCTTTCTCAGGCGCTTGATCTTCAGCTCTGCAAAATTCTTTTGCTTTTTCTTCAGGGTTTCTGGCACATCAGGAAGCTTCTTTTTCTTCTCTCCAGCGGCCGCTGCTGCCGGCTTAGCAGGGAACTTCTTTTTCTTCTCTTCTTCGCCTTCCATGGTTCCAGTCGGGAAAGAGCATACCTTATTTACTTTAGATAATTACATTTTATGTTATTCTAATGTTTGCACAAAGTAGCATAAAATTTTGCAAATATAGTATAAAATACATATGTATGTATTTATGCTAACAGACACATTGCCTGTCTGTCCTCCCATTGTTCATCGATTTGCTCAAGTGGTCCCAGTGACGTCTCCATTTTGAGACTTGTTGTTACTGTGCTTGGCATATGGAATACATGATGGGTAGCTTGCCAGGCTTTGCTGTGCGGGCGAGATACTCTTGGTAGCTTGCCGGGCTCTCCGATAGGGGCAGAGGAATCAAACCCAGTTCGGCTGGGCTGGCTGCAAGCAAGGCAAACGCCCTACCGCCTTGGTATTGCTCCAGCCCTGCTAACAGACACATAACACACATTCTTTATGGACAGATACAAACACACAGATACAGATTTGATGTGGTTAGCTGAGAATCAGCAAGACGTGAGGATTAGATTTTGAATTAGATTGTCAGTAATAACCGAATTGTTCATTACAACTTGGAAAGAGCCACATGTCAGTGATAAAGGACAAAGCAAAAGAAAATAGTAAGGGAGTTAGTAACTCTTCTAAACAGAAATGATAAATTATAGCAATTATCATTTGTAGAAATGAAATAATTATCATATAAAACTGGTACATAATACTGTGCTCATTAAAAACAATTTTACTCTGTAAGAACTAACCATTACAGACACTTTTTTTCATGACAAATTGATACACCACTAGATAACATTGAGTCATTTTTCATCAACTTTTGGATATTTTGGCTATGCTTTTGTTTTTAAGTTTAGTGTTTTCTTAGGACACTTATTTGTTTAACATTTTCCTGACAATAACATTTTTAAAAAATTTATTACTATTGACAGACTCATGGACTTTAAAATCAAAAGTGGCTTGGAGATGGTGGGCGTGGAGGGTGACATGTTTGTCTTTTGTCCAAAACATCCTTAGCACTTCTCATGTTCTTGGTTATTCAAAATTGCAGTACTTGATCTTACCACAAGATGGTAATATGGTCAGTGATTTAACTCACAAAATAGTCTTGCAGCTAATATCTAGCCTACTTTCACCTCATGCTTTATTCTTATTTTCTGTCTTAGAAGTTAGAATAATAGAAATAATTATGTTTAAACAAGACAGTTTTTCTCTTTATTCTTTTCAACATCGTTTATAATGAAGTGGTTTAAGAAGTACGTTTCTCATTTAAAAATGCATCATATGGCCTGTTCCTATTCCTCCTCATTCTTAGGTTCCCAGAGATTCTTGAAGTAAATAGCTGTATAAAATCGAAGCATTTAAAAATTATATCATTTTATTGTGTGCCTTCAGAAGCCTGATTAGGGTCGGAGCATTAGCTCACAGGCTGCAGCATATGTTTTGCATGCAGGAAGCTGGGTCCAGTCACTGGCTACCACCACAGGGTCCTCCACTCCCACCAGAAGTGCCCCCTGAGCACTGAATTTGCAGTAGCCCCTAAGCAGCACTGAGTGTGGCCACTCTTCCCCGCCCTCATAAGCATCTGTAAAATATCCTAAAAATTATTTTCTTTATCTGAAGTTGCTAACACTTCTGGGTCACAGAATCCCTTTTTATTTTTTAAAATAGAGGACTTTTAAAAGCTTTTTTTATATGTTTTGTTTATTATTATTTTAGTCTGGGGCCTGACTATGCTCAGGTTTACCCCTTGCTCTGTGCTCAGGGATCATTCCTGAGAGTACTG